CCTCTCTCTCCTCCTCTCTTCCTCTCCTCCGGCTCCTCGTCCTCTCTCCTCCCTCCTCCTCCTCCTCCTCCTCTCCTCCTCCTCCTCCTCCTCCTCCTCCTCCTCCTCCTCCTCCGCCTCCTCCTCCTCTCGGGGATGGAGCGCGGGACGGCCCGACCGAACGCCTTGGTCAGCCGAGGGCTGGCCGCAGGGGATGGCCCTGGTGGGCGGGCCTGGTTTCGGCCGGCGCTTCCTCTTCCCTCCGTCCCCCCCCCCCCCCCTCTCCTCCTCCTTTTCCTCCTCTCCTCCTCTTCCTCCTGCTTCTCCTCTCCTCCTCCTCCTCCTCCTCCTCCTCCTCCTCCTCCTCCTCGTTCTCGTCCTCCTCCTCTTTCTCGTCCTCCTCCTCCTCCTCCTCCTCCTCCCGCTCTCTCCTCCTCCTCCTCGTCCTCCTCCCCTTCTCCTCCTCCTCCTCCTCCTCCTTTTCCTCCTCCTCCTCCTCCTCCTCCTACTCCTCCTCTCCTCTCCTCCTCCTCCTCTCCTCTCCTCCTCCTCCTCCCCCTCCTCTCTCCCTCATCTCCCCCATCCTCGTCCTGGCCTCGCCCTCCTCCTTCCTCCTCTTCCTCCTCGTCATCCTCCTCCCCCTCCTCCTCGTCCTCCTCCTCCTCCTCATCCTCCTCCTCCTCCTCCTCCTCCTCCTCCTCCCCCTCCTCCTCCCCCACCTCCCCCTTCCACTCCTCGTCGTCGTCCTCCTTCTCCTCCATCTCCTCCTCCTCCTCCTCCTCTCCTCCTCCTCCCTCCTCCTCTTTTCCTCCTCCTCTCCTCCTTCCTCCTCCTCCTCTTCCTCCTCCTCCTCTTTCTCCTCTCCTCCTCCTCCTCCTCCTCCTCCTCCTCCTTCTAACCTCCACCCTCCTCTTATTCCTCCTCCTCCTCCTCCTCCTCCTCCTCTCCTCCTCCTCCCTCTCTCCCTCCCTCCTCTTCTTTCCTCCCTCCCTTCTTTCCTCTCTCCCGCCCTCCCTCCCTCTCTCCCTCCCTCCCTTCTTTCCTCCCTCCCTTCTTTCCTCTCTCCCGCCCATCCCTCCCTCAACAGTTACACAATATGAACACTACGTTCCTCTCTTCCCCGGTGGCGTCTGGGGAATGTCCGGTCCCCCTCCGCGTACTGTTTTTTTCACAGGATTCCCGGGAGTGGGTGTTCCGCTTTTTTTTTCACAATGCTGCTCTCGCTGAAGCGTTGGCTTCAGTTATGGGCTACCGCTCGTTCCGAATCGTGCTCCCGCTGCAGCGTTGGCCTCATTTCTGCGCTTTCGCTCTTTCCGAATCTCGCTCTCGCTGCAGCGTTGGCGTCATTATTTCCAGCGCCATGCCATGGCATGGTTTGCGGTCCTTCCAAGTAGGCCGCCAAATCCAGAAAATGGCCTGCCGAAAAAACCATTGGAAGTGATTACACATCCGGTCTCGATTCGTTGTTTTTTTGGGGCCGCTGAAGTCCCCCCATCCGCTTTGGGGCGTCGCCACGCCATGCTATGTCAGGCTACGCGTTCTCATTTCCGCGCTTCCGCGCAGAGCTTGTTTTCAAAATGCTGCTCTCGCTGAAGCGTTGGCTTCAATTCTGGGCTACCGCTCGTTCCGAATCGTGCTCCCGCTGCAGCGTTGGCCTCATTTCTGCGCTTTCGCTCTTTCCGAATTTCGCTCTCGCTGCAGCGTTGGCGTCATTCTTTCCAGCGCCATGCCATGGCATGGTTTGCGGTCCTTCCAAGTAGGCCGCCAAATCCAGAAAATGGCCTGCCGAAAAAACCATCGGAAGTGATTCCAGATCCGGTCTCGATTCGGGCCGCAGAAGCCCCCCACATTTTGGGGCGTCGCCACGCCATGCTATGTCAGGCTGCGCGTTCTCATTTCCGCGCTTCCGCGCTGAGTTGTTTTTCAAAATGCTGCTCTCGCTGCAGCGTTGGCCTGAATTTCGGGCTACCGCTCGTTCCCGATCGTGCTCCCGTTGCAACGCTGTCCCCATTTCCGCGTTTCGTGCTCCCTCTGCAGCGTTGGCGTCATTATTTCGAGTGCCATGCCCCGGCATGATTCGCGGTCCTTCCAAGTAGGCCGCCAAATCCAGAAAATGGCCTGCCAAAAAAACCCTCGGAGGTGATTCCACATCCGGTCTCGATTCGTTGATATTTGGGGGCCGCGGACCCCCCCCCAACCTTTGGGCGTCGCCACGCCATGCTACGTCCTGCTACGCGTTGATATTCGACACCATGTTATGCCACGTAATGCTGTGCCATGCTACGACATCCGATTGTGCGAATAGAGAGGATGTGCACGCCATGGTAATGGATGGGAGGGAGGGGTACGCCGTCAGACATGACGCGAGCGCACCTAGCTTGCCCCCTCATCCCCTCCTCCTCCCCCTCCTCCTCCTCCCCTTCCTCCTCCTCCTCCTCCTCCCCCTCCTCCGCCTCCTTTTCCTACTCTTTACAATTACTCAATATGAATACTACTCTCCCTCTTCCCCTGATGGCGTCCTGGGAATATTCGACCCCCCACCCCGCGTACTGTTTTTTTACACAGGACTCCCGGGAATTGGGTTTTCGCTTGCGTTTTTTTCAAAATGCTGCTCTCGCTGAGGCGCCGGCCTCATTTCTGCTCCCGAATCGTTCCGAATCGTGCTCCCGCTGCAGCGTGGGCATCATTTGCGGATCGGTGTTTTGCCTCCGTCGTTCAGGATGGCGTTCTCGCTCCAGCGCGGGCCTCTTTCTCGCGCGCCCATCCGCCCGCCACCACCGCGCCGCACCACGCCCCGCCCCGCCGCACGCACACCCACTGCCACTTCCACCCACCAACGCACGCACGCACGCACGCGCACCACCACCGCGCACCGCCACCACCACCGCACTACCCCACCCACCACCACCACGCTACACCGCGTCACACCACATCACACGCTCGCACACACAGACACACACACACGCACGCACGCACGCACGCACGCACGCACGCACGCACGCACGCACGCACGCACACACACACACACACACATACACACGCACACACACACACACACACACACACACACACGCACACACACACCACACACACACACACACACACACACACACCACCACCGCCACCACCACCACCGCCATCACGCACGTACGCACCTGGCCCACCACCAAACCACCAAGACGCCACACCACGTCACACCACAGCACACGCGCACACACGCACACACACACACACATACACACCACCACCACAACAACCACAACCACGCACACACGCACGCACGCACGCGCACCACCACCCACTACGCACACGCGCGCGGAGCCACAGGTCCGCTACGACACGCGTCCGCGGATAGAGAAAATCAGCGCCATGGTAAGGGATGGGAGGGAGGGGTAGGATGTCAGATGTTGACGCGAGTGCACCTAACTTGCCCCTCCCTCTCTCCCTCCTCCTCCCCTTCCTCCTCCTCCTCCCCCTCCTCCTGCTCCTGCTCCTCCTCCTCCTCCTCGTCATCTTACTCCTCTTACTCCTCCTCTTCCTCCCCCACCTCCTCCTCCTTCTCCTCCTCCTCCTCCTCTTCCTCCTCCTCCTCCTCTTCCTCCTCCTCCTCCTCCTCCTCCTCTTCCTCCTCCTCCTCTCCCCCTCCCTCCCACCCTTCCTCCCTCCCTTGCTCCCTCCTTCACTCCCTCCCTCCCCCCCATCCCTCCCCCTCTTCCTCTCCTCCTCCTCCTCCTCCTCCTCCTCCTCCTCCTCCTCCTCCTCCTCCTCCTCCCCCCCCTCCTCATCCTCTGTTCCTGTTCGTTCTACATGATTTCTCCCTGTCGCACCCCGAGGCAAGTTTTTAGCGCGACCTGGGCGTTTCGCCTGAGTCTTCCTCCCCATGTTTGATTGTGACGCCTGAAAATTGGCAGCCGGAGGGCGGGTGTTTTTCAAAGTGTGGCTCTCGCCTTAGCGCGGCGCAGATTCGTTTTTTACATTTGCAATTGTTTCACGGATTGAGGGCGGTTCCTTTTCAACATGTGGTTCTCGCCTTAGCGCGGCGCATATTCGTTTCAAACATTTGCAAGAGTTTCACGGGTTGAGGGCGGCTCTTTTTCAAAATGTGGTTCTCGCTTTGGCGCCGCTTGCAAGAATTTCACGGATTCCCATCATCAACGTACCAAGGAATTCCAGTTTGGAAGGATTCAGGTTTACGCAGGTGCAGCAGTTACGGTGACTCGTTGTGTTGAAGTTCCAGGAATGGCGTTGTGGCACGATTCAGGATCGTCAAGACACAACCGTCAGATTCATCCGTGGCGTTGGACTCCCGATAACAATGTTGTGGCATGCTTCAGGGTCTCCAAACGGTTGCTTTCGAACGAAGCAGTTCCCTCAGTGGAAATTAGACGTTGTAGGGGCCTATGAAGAAGGAGCTGGGATGGAGGGTTTATTCCAACATCGCTAATGACTCAGAGTTTTACACTGGTCCTCCTCCTCCTCCTCTTCCTCCTCCTCCTCCTCGCTCCCGCCTCTCTCCCTCCTCCTCCTCCTCCTCCTCCTCCTGCTCCTCTTCCTCCTCCGCCTCTCTTCCTCCTCCCTCCTTAGCTTGCTTCCTCCCTCCCTCGCTCAGCCCCTCCCTCCCCCCCTCCCTCAGCCCGTCCCAATCCCTCCCCCCTCCCCCCCCCCTCTGCTCCTCCTCCTCCTCCTTCTCCTCCTCTCCTCCTCCTCCTCCTCCTTTCCTCCTCCTCCTCCGCCTCCTCCTCTTCCTCTCCTGCTCTTCATCTTTCTCCTCCTCCTCTTCCTCTTGCTTCTCCTCCTCTCCTCCTCCTTCCATCCCTCCCTCGCTCGTCGCTCGCTCCCTCCCTCCCACCCTCCCAGCCCCTCCCCCTCCCCCCCCCCCTCCTCCTCTTCCTCCTGCTCCTCCTCCTCTCCTCCTCCTCCTCCTCCTCCTCCCTCCCTCCTCCTCCTCCTCCTCCTCCCCCTCCCCCTCCGCCTCTCCCTCCCTCCCTGACGGTAAGGGCCCCTCCCTTTCCGTGGCTCAGGTGGCGGCGCTCAACGGCGAGACGAACGTGTTGCCGCTGGAGGCCTTCCGCCAGCTGGCTAAGGCCTTCGGCACCGACCTGGCTGTCGCGGCGCTGCCGGACCCAGAGGAGATCTTCTTCGCGGAGTGGGAGGCGCGTTCGGGTTTGTTTCTCTGCAGGTCGCCCCCATGGGAGGGGTTCGATGCATACACCGCGTCGGTTTGCTGACCAGGGAGCCGAGGAGTTCGGACGCTCCAGCGTCCCATACCGAGCTCCTTGGCCGAGCTGTAGACATGCTGTGTGCATCGAGCTCCTTGCCACCCTCGGCGGTGCGAAGATGACCGCGCTTCGCGCCTCGAGGTCATGATTCCGGGCGCCCCGTTCGAGGTTGAAGGGGCCGCTGACGACCGCGCTGTGACATGCGAGAGGTCAGCTGTCGCCGCCGCGGCTGGACGGATCGAAAAACTGGCGGTGCAAACGGCATCTCCATAGCATATCATGTCGACGCACCGACGCCAGCAAGTGTCTCGCATAGCGGGGCCAATGCGTCTGGGAAGTCTGGCGCCACGGGCGACGCGCTTGGGCTTGGGCAACCTGGCGCCGCGCTTTGGCAACCTGGCGCCGCGCTGGGGAAACCTGGCGCCATAGGCAGGCCGGCCGCGTTCGGGACGAAGTCGGAAGGGCCAGCGCCATGCCCCTTCGACAACGCGCCCCCTTCCCGCGGTCGCACACCAGAAGAGGACTGGGCTGCAATGTCAGCCAAAGTGAGCCAGAGCGCGCTGCAGAGGCATTCCTCACGACACCTTTCTGGACTATATACCAATGGGCGTCGATTCGGCGCATGCAAACACCAACGAGCGTCGAGTCGACGCAGGCCAAGCTGACGATCGTCGGGTCGGCGCGTGCTATATCGATGAGCGCCGAGTCGGCGTACACCGTGCAAATAGTACTGCAGGAACAAATCAGGCAACAACATATAGTTCTTCAAGATCAAGGGAGAGATGGTGTCCAGGCCTTCCGCCGGGCAATTATATAATGCGCGAGAGCAAACAATGAGCACGGCGACCAGCAAGTGCGGGCTGTTGCAGAAGAAACTCGGGCAATGCCCAGATTGCCAGTCAACCACAATCAGTCTGCCCGCTGAAGCTCGCGCTGCTGTCGAAGTCTCTGCGGCCGAAAGTGCTGGCGACCAGGAACGGGAAAAGCAACAGAGACAGAGTAGCCATGCTTTTTTTGATGAACAGCTCACGGCACTGGGCCAACGACTCAATAAGGTTGAAGCCGAGCAGCAGAGCAACATATTCATCAATGAGCAGCGCGATGACATGCTGCATGAACTCCAGACAAGCCCTGCGAGCGCAACGGCTCGCAGACAAAATGAGTTGGAACAGGTCAGATGTCTGATGGCAGAAACTGAAACTACCACGCATGGCATTATAGTGAACCGCGCGCCTTCCAAGAGCAGCTAAGTCTCACGGCTGTTCAAGCCTTTCTACAAATGGCGGGGATAGTTCTCTGCACGAAACTGCGCGGGTAGATTTACAAAAGCAGGTCAGAGACGCGCGCGAACAGTTCGAGGCATGCGAACAAATAGCTGCCGACTACAGCAGCCAGCTCCATAATCACAATATGATGAATGTCGTGGGCCTGGATAGGAGTAAACATGAGGCGGGTGCTGAATTTGTGACGTTGGATGAAACGATCGATCGGATCAACGAGAGAGTGGACGATTCCCGAAATGAGTCGGAGACACGTTTCTCTGCGATATCTACTAGACAGGTATCGCCAGTCACGAGGCACGTGGGCCCAGTAATGAGGATGCCACACATTGTGCTAATGTCCCCACAGCCGCGCGAAATTGTGGAGTAGCTGAGACCAGGCCCCCAATTGCACTCACGCACAACGTCCTCGCACCCCCTGCGCGCAAGGCTGCGCCGGGGTAGCCCGACGCCACGCGCGTGGCATGCGGCATGCCGGCGCACTGCGTCGGAACAATGTGACGCTAAACGCGTTGAAGACAGCAGGTGCTTTGCCTAAGACAAAGTCAGCAGAGCCAGAGCGGACGCGCCACGCCCAAACCCTAGCCAGCAAGAACGCACCACCCACCCTTCGGGGACGAGCCACACGGCGCGGACGGTGGATTACCCAATCATGTGCGGCAGGGCGCCGCAGAAGATGCAGTTCGGATGTTGCAAAACAAGACGAAGTACAACCCGGCCGAAAAAGGATAATACTTGAGCCCACCTGCCGCACCGTATTTCCGACAGCGGAAGCAAGACATGCATGAGACGACGAGGTCTGCTTCGAGCAGACCAGATATCTGCTTCACTTGGCTCCGTGTGGTTGAGGGTGCTGCGACGACGTATGAGTCCCTTGCGGGCAGTGGCGGGTTAGAAACCTTGAATATAAACATAGCCACAACACGCACCAACATCCTGCGGAACGATGACCTCAGGAGGAGAGTCAACACACGGAAGTAGGAAGCTAGGACCAACGACTGGCTCGTCAAGGGACGTCAGGTCCTCTATACGATGTTGGATTTGTGCAAGCTGGTAGGAGCAGACGGCTGCATCTTTGACTTCGCCCACCTCAACGTTGTCCAAATGACATAAATCGATCGCAGCGAGTTCATTGAACATTGGGACTACACCCTCTTGGGGACAACCTGACCTTCGTCGCTCATCCTGGAATCCTTGTTGAGAACACAGGTAGAACGCCATCGTGATCTCGAGTGTGACACAGGGAAGGAGGCGACCTCAGCAGAAACTACGAGTGGCTCGACGACGAGTGTACCATCTTTCTCGAGAGACAGCGGTGCGGCCAGCACGCCAGGATGCGGTGTTAGCGGATAAGGGCCGTTTAGTCACGTCAGCATGCAAAGGAGCGCGCAGCGATTGGGTTCAGAGAAAGGCGCGCGCAATTCAGAGGGCCGCCCGCGGTATCACCCAGGACGTCCACAGGAAAACATGACATGGCCGACTGACAACTCGGGGGCTCGCAGGTTCTGCGAATAGTTTCGAGAAGGCCCGCAGCCCGCAGCATCGTGCCTGGCCTGGCGGCCACGAAGATTGCCTTCGAGATCGCCGTTGGCCCTCCCGCGACGTCCTCCTTCCTGGGGGGGTGGGCGGAGGAGCGCGAGGCGCGATGGGGGGGGGGAGCAGGCGCGCGCTTTCCTGTGACGGGGAGACACGGCGCCAAGCACCTTTCGAGGTGACTCATTTCTGCGACGAGGGAGCATGTCGCCAGGCATTCCGCCACGTCGCCTTCCCTGCGCGTCGGGGGAACCCGACGCCGAGCGCCCGCCGAGGCGTTTCTTCGCTGCGCCGGGAGAGCCCGACGCCAAGCGCCCGCCAAAGTCATTCTCTGTGTTGCGCAGGGGGAGCCCGACGCTCTGCGCTTGCCGAGGTGTGTCGCCGAGGCGACGGGGAAACACGACGCTAAGGTGGCTGCGTCGGGGACGCCTGGCGCCAGTGCGGCTCAGTCTGCTGTGGCGCGCCGCGACGCGCTGCGCCCGACGCGACGCTCGGTGTCTTCATGGCACCCGGCGTCTTCATGGTGAGTCTCAGTAGCACGGCACGTGCCGTCGTCGTTTGCCGCGCGGTTGCGCTGCCTTTTCGCAGTGCATTTTCGGGGTCGTAGCCTGGGCAGGCACGCGGCGCGCAGTGGAGTCAGACTGGGGATCGAGACTCCAGCGGCCTACGTCAGGCCGCTCCCGCGCCCGCTCCTGGCGAGGTGCCGCCCGCGGGGCCTTTGGGCCAGCATGTGGGTTCTACCTGGGGGCAGGTACTCCTGGCCCCAGGACCCCGTATTACAAGCCTGGAACATATCCCTATCCCTATGCTGGGCACCTCCTCATCACGATGCCAATCTTAGGGAGTCCCTTATTGTTTCGAGGGCGAATCCCTAAGATTGTCATCGCTTTTTGGCGTGTCAATCTTAGGGATAGGGATACGTTCGAGGCTGGTAACCGTAGAAAACAGAGTAGGAGGCCGGAAGACGGCACTTGGCATAGGGGAAGCCGGATGCTGCGGGGCTGGCTCTGCGCACCTCGAGCTCCTTGGCCTCCTTCTTGGACTCTGCTGCTCGGTGTCGCACGCTTCGCGTTCGGCCTCTCCGTCGAATCATGGTTTCGCGTCTGTCGTCGTTCTTCCGATTACCGCTGGATCCGCCTTGCAATGCTGTGCTTTGCCCAGCCTTGCCGCTGGACCACGGACATCGTCGATGTTGACTACTCCCTTTTCCTGCGCTCGCTCTTCGCGCACCCCCTGCTGCGCCCCCTCCTCGTCTGGGCCAACCCCTTCGGAAAGCTGCACCAACTGGCACGGGCGGTCCTCCGTTTGCTTTCCTCGCGCGAGGGTCGGCAGCCGGGAGCTTCTTAGGCCCGCCCTCTCGGGCGTGGCTGCCCGCCCACTTTCGTGAGGAGGGCCGTCTTCCCTTGCTCCCCCCTGCTCACGGAAAATTGCGCCCGTTGTTTTTTTCCAGCGTTGGAAGGAGAGGCGGAGGAGGAGGAGGAGGAGGAGGAGGAGGGGGAGGAGGCGGAGGAGGGCGTTGGGCGTTGGGCGTTTCCTCTGTTCTCTTTTATTGCGCGAGTCCTCTGGGTAAACTTGACCTGGGAGCCCCCAGCTTGGGGTTCCCGGGCGGGGGGTGCGTTTCTCCCTCCGTTCGTGGGTGGGGCGCGTTTGTTTTGTGCGGCATGCCCGCCCGGGCTCGGGGGGAGTGAAAGGCCTGTTTTGGCCCTTCCACTCTCCGCCTTCCCTCGCCCCCTCCCCCTCCCGCTGCTGCTGCGCCCGAAGCCCGCGTTCGCAGCAATTCGGTTTGTCTTGAGGCGATCGGCTGAATGGGCGGGGCCCCTGAGCCCTCGTCGTCGGAGGAACGATGGCAAACGGCTCTAGTGCTTCAATATTCTTTCCGGGGCGCCCTCGCGAGCGCAAGCTCGAACCATTGACGGGGACCCCGCCGCCTTCACAGGCGAGCCAGGCCCCAAGACCACGAAGGTTTTGCCAAGTGGGGCTCGGCCCAGTGGCTGGCACATCGCCGAACATCTTTGGCGCCTCCTGGGGGCGTTCCTGGGGCGATCTGGGCGCACCGGAGACCGCGCCCAGGGGCTCCGGCTCTCTGGGCCCCGACTCCGCCGGGACCTCGGGCAGGTGCTCTTCGTCCCAGGGGGTCTGGGGCGCCCCAGGGTCCGCCCTGTCTTGCGCCTTTGGCCCGCTGGGCCGGCGAATTCGAGTGGGTCACCCGTGCAGGTGCGGGTGGGGCTTGGGTCCAGGATGTCTCAATCAACCCTTTTCCCTCCTGCCCTACACTGAGAGGGGGACGTGGTGCCCATGCCGCTACCTTTCCCGCGTTGTCGCTTTCCTGAGCCTCCAGGGAGGCCCTCGTCGCCACCGCTGGATTCGCATCGAACTTCTGGGCTGAACGCATCACGGGAGAGGTCCGGGGACTATCGGCATCGGTATTTGGATTTTCTCTACACGCAGTTTGGTCTTCTCACCACCGTTTGAATACAGTCGCTGCGCACGAAGCTTCCGTTGCGCGCGACGGCGCAGGAGATGGTGGTCGCGGCGGTGTCGCAGTTCAGCACACTGGACCTTTGCCGCACAGCACACAACACAAGGCTGGACGTCACCCCGCTGTCCCCGGAGGGTGGCATCCCGATGCTGCTGGACATATCTGTCGCCGCGCCGTTTGTTCCGACGTGCAGCCTCGCTCCTTGGGGAGGGCGCCGCGGGCACCAGGGCAAACTCCACCTCGGGCGCGGTGAGTTTGCCGTGGGGTTTGCCGCGGCGCCGGCGTCGTCTATTTGGGGCGCGGGGCGCAGGGCCTGGAATGGGTGAGCCGTGGTGTCGGCGTCGCCCATTCGGACGCGTCGAGAACAAGCGGCACGGCGACAAATGTATGTAGAGTAGTACAGTGTGGAAGAGAGAGCACATCAAACAAACCCAGCTGAAAAGACATTTGCGTATACATATGTTGTATCTCTGCATATACATATACATTATATAAATGGAGGGGGAGAGCGAAACAGACAGACAGAGACGTAGGCAAACAACCATACGGACGGATGGTCTGACACGTGTGCACTTACATATATATATACACACTTTTATGTATGTACACAGAGGGAAACGGAGAGAGAAAGAGAGAGAGAGAGAGTCACATAATAATAACATCAAGCACAACAACAAGAACAACAGCGACGACAACAACAACAACAACATCAACATCAACATCAACAACAACATCAACAACAACCACCATGTTACCCTCATGCGCGATGTTTCCACACGAAGCATGCGACCATTATGATAACCATCCCCATCATGGGGGACTTCTGTTCTATAGCGGTGTCCGTGATTCCCACTCCCAGATCTCCCGCCCAAAGAGGTCTTACAAACACCTCCTCCAAGGAATTTCAACATATCCCGTCTCGAAAACGCATGCCCGCGCCTTGCTGCGCCGATGCGAGACTGCCAGTGGAATCCCAGCCAAGATAAAAGCACAAGGAAGTATCGAGCGACAGGATTGCCTTGGTGGGGATGGGGGCTGTCGGCGGCGAGGCAAGGACCTGGCCCTGAATAGAAACGGGGGAAGTCTCGAGGAGGGCCGCTTTTGTTGCTGCGAGCGGCGCCAATGCTGACGATAGTAGGGCGCTAGTCCAGCGTAAAACAAAGCGAAGTCTCGAACGGGAACGCTGGTTTTGTTGGGACGGCGGTTGTCGGCGTCGAGGAGGAACACCGCCTTGAGTAAGATGGGGGGAGGTCTCGAGCCGGAGCCGTGGTTTTGTCGGGATGGGGGCTGTCGGCGGCGAGGAACAGCACCGTCCTGGGGAAAAGGGCAGGGAACCTCGAGCGGGAGCGTTGTTCTTGCTTCGAGCGGCGCCAATTCAAAAGGAGAGTTGGGCGCCAGTCCAACGTGAAACGGAGGAAGTCTCGGGCGGGAGCGCTGGTTTTGTCGGGACGGCGGTTTTCGGCGGCGGGGAGGAGCACCGCCTTGAGTAGAAAATGGAAGAAGTCTCGAGCGGGAGCGTTGTTGTTGCTGGGGGCGGCGCTGGTGAGAGAACGAGTAGCGCGCCAGTCCAAGGTAAAACGGGAGGAAGTCTCGAGCGGGAGCGTTGGTTTTGTTGGGACGGCGGCTTTCGGCGGCGACCAAGAGCACCGGCCCTGAGTAAAAAAGGAGGCAGTCTCGAGCGGGAGCGTTGTTGTTGTTGGGGGGGCGGCTTTCACGCCCCCCCAAACCGCTCGAGCGTGAGCCTCATTCTCAATGAAGATGTAGTTGGCGCGCAGGCGAGAGCGCCAAAGCGCTTGGGGGGTCCAACAACCATAACTGATTAGTAATGAACGTTCAGCAACACCAGCAACAGCGACAACAACAACAACAACAATCATTATACCCTCATGCGCGATGCTTCCACACGCAGCATTGCTCCCATCATGGGGCATTATTGTTCTCATGGCCAGATCTCCCGCCCAATGAGGTCTTACAATCACCGCCCCCGAGAAATTTCAACATATCCCGCCTCGAAAACACGTGCCCGCGCCCTGCTGCGCCGATGCGAGACCGCCACTGGAATCCCAGCCAAGGGCAAAGCACAAGGAAGTATCAAGCGACAGGATTGCTTTGGTGGAGATGGGGGCTGTCGGCGGCGAGGCAAGGACCTGGCCCTGAGTAGAAAAGGGAAAAGTCTGGAGCAGGGGTGCTGTTGTTGCTGCGAGCGGCGCCAATGCTGAAGAGAGTAAGGCGCTAGTCCAGCTTGAAACAACACGAAGTCTCGAGTTGGAGCGCTGGTTCTGTTGGGGCGGCGGTTGTCGGCAGCGAGGAGGAACACCGCCTTGAGCACGAAGGGAGGAATTCTCGAGCAGGAGCCGCGGTTTTGTTGGGACGGGGGCTGTCGGCGGCGAGGAACAGCACCGTCTAGAGGAAAAAGGGAGGGAGCCTCGAGCGGGAGCGCTGGTTTTTGCTGGGGGCGGCGCCAATTCAAAAGAGAGTTGGGCGCCAGTCCAGCGTAAAATGGGAGGACGTCTCCGGCGGGAACGCTGGTTGTGTCGGAGCGGTGGTTTTCGGCGGCGAGCAAAAGCACCGGCTCTGAGTTAAAAAAGGGAGGAAGTCTCGAGCGGGAGCGTTGTTGTTGCTGGGGGCGGCGCCGATGAGAGAAAGAGTAGCGCGCCAGTCCAAGGTAAAACGGGAAGAAGTCTCGAGCGGAAGCGTTGGTTTTGTTTGGGCGGCGGTTTTCTGTATCGAGCAAGAGCACTTGCTCTGGGTAAAAAAAGAAAGTCTCGAGCGGGAGCGCTGTTGTTGTTGAGCTCTCACTTCTGAAGAATGATTATTGTTGATCCCCCCCGTCCGGGTGCACATTGGTTTTTTCGATTGAAGTGCCCTTCCCGGGGCTCGCACCCTGTTTTTTTATCGGGGAAAAGCTTGAGGGTCAAACTGTGTCGTTGGCCCCCGGTTTACAACAACGGCTCCCGCTTAAGATTTCTTCACAATTTAGCCATGACCCCTGCTCCCGCCCGAGACTTCCTCGCGGTTTATTCAGGAATCGCGCTCCCGCTTGGGACTTCCTTAGAATTGATTGCCCCGGCGCTCTGGAGTCGCGCTCTCGCTGGAGACTTGCTTGCAATGTATTGAAGAATAGCGCCCTTGCGTTGGAATTTCTTGCAATTTACTCAAGCGCCGCGCTCCCGACACCCAGGCACCCAGGAGTCGCGCTCACGCTGGAGGAGGAGGAGGAGGAGGAGGAGGAGGAGGAGGTGGACGAGGACGGGGAGGAGGAGGAGAAGGAGGAGGAGGAGGAGGAGGGGGAGGAGGAGGAGGAGGAGGAGAAAAGGGCACCAGTCCAGCGTAAAACGGGAGGACGTCTTGGGCGGGAGCGCTGGTTTTGTCAGGACGGGGGCTGTCGGCGGCGAGCAAGTCTCGAGCGGGAGCGTTGTTGTTGCCGGGGGGCGGCGCCGATGAGAGAAAGAGTAGCGCGCCTGTCCAAGGCGGGAGCGCTGGTTTTGTTGAAACGGCTGCTTTCGGCGGCGAGCAAGAGCACCGGCCCTGAGCAAAAAAGGAGGAATTCTCGAACGGGAGCGTTGTTGTTGTTGGGGGGCCGGCTTTGGCGGCCCCCCAAACCGCTTGAGAGTGATCCTCATTTTCGATGAAAATGCAGCCGACGCCTCGGCGAGAGCGCCAGGGCGTCTGTAAGGGTCCCAACAATAATGATTGTTGAGTAATCTACATTCAACAATAACACCAACACCAACACCAACACCAACAATACCAGTTTCAACAGCAGCAGCAATCACAATAACGACAACAGCAGCAGCAGCAACAACAACAGCAACAGCAACTACAGGCACGATACACAGGCAGACAGAGAGGTTCAGATACAGCGAATGGGGGGGACCTCACCAGGTGGAGAACGGCGTCCCCGTCCTCCCCGACAAGCTGCGCGCGTTCATGGTGTACCGCAACTTGGTGCCGCGGCCGCGGGTTCGGCTGCAGAAGCTCTCACCAGAGAGCCGCTGGCGACTCGTCGGGGCATCCAGCCGGGCACCGAGGCTGGTTCTTGAATTCCAAAAACTTGTTTATGAATTCCAAAAATATGCTTCAGAATTCAACAAACCTTGCC